CTCGATCCCGGGACTCCAGGATCATGACCTGAGCCAAAGGCAGTCGCTTAACCAACTGAGCCACCCAGGCGCCCCCTGGCATTACTTTTAAGACTGTTCCGAACAGTGCAGCCCTTGGGTACAATGCCCTTAACCAGCTATTTTCTGTGTCTGTTCCAGCTGATACGGAATTTTGGTTTTGTTTTTAATTAAAAAAAAAATTAACCCTTTGGGTTGAGGAGTGTACCTGCTATGGCCTCGCTGACAATGGCCCTTTGTAGCCCTTTGCCCTCCACACCCTGGGATTCCAGAGCCTTGCTCCTCAGCCTCCCAGTAGCATGAAGCAAGCTGGCTGGTGGGTGGATGGCAGCAGGGACTGCCAGTTTGCTGACCACAGGCAGGGGTGCCTCCAGGACTCAGAAGATGGCTCCAGTGGGGCCTAGGGGTGCTGGCTTCTTAGAGAACCCAGTCTGCCAGGGCATAGTCAGGTGGGCCCCTTTCATGCCCTTTTCATATGGACTCACCTGCTCTCATGAGCAGATGAGTGGTTTCACTTAGTGTAGGTGTCAAGAGGTGCCCTTCAGTTTCCTGATCTGTAAATCAGGGAGAGTAAATGGGGCTTATAAGGAAGACCAGGATGAAATAAGGGTGTAGAGGAGCTTTACAAGTTGTCAAGGGTAGCCCACCGAAGGGTGGTCTTCAGAAGGCAAAAGCCTCTGTTCAGGAAGCTTCGAGGCCATGATGGGGGACAGGCCTCTTGATTTTTTGTGCTACGGGAGCCTCACTAAACCCTTGGAGGCAGAATCCCAGTGGCAGATGCAGGAGGTCTTGACTGCCTTGTGGGGGAGGATGTTTGCCTGCTCTACAAATTGTTTTGAAAAATCTTTGGATGCTATTACTTTGTTAGAATAAGTATCAGTCCATTTGATTGGATGACTGATTTTGGGAAGTTCTCAAGGACCTAATTTTTATCGTCAGTATTTTGGGTCAGAGTCAAGGCAGCAGGGTAGGGGCTTTCCTCTGCCCCTCATTGTAACCTTGGGCAAGTCACTGAACCTCCTAGAACCTCAGTTTCTTCTGCTTCTGTTGAGACGATCACGTGGCTTTTCCTTATTTGGCTGTTAATGTGGTGAATTACATTGATGTTTTGATTATCGAACCAGCCTTGCATTCCTGGGACGACGCAGGATCCTGAGGCGGTATCCTTTGTATATATTCCTAGATTTGCTTTGCTTTTGTTGCTGTTGAGGATTTGGATGGCTGTGCTCATGAGGATAGGGTTTGTAGTTTTCTTGTCATGTCTTTTTCTGGTTTTGGTATTGAGGTAATGCTGGCCTCTTTGTGTGAATTACAAAGTCGTCTCTCCTGTTCTGTATTCTAGGAGAGATTGTGTGGAATTGGTGTCATTTCTTCCTTAAATGTTGGTAGAGTTCATCCAGTGAAATCTTCAGAGCCTGGGGCTTTCTGTTCTGGAAGATTTTTAACTGTGAATTCATTTAAAAAAAAAATAGATATAGGATTATATGTTGAAGGAATTTTGTTAGCTTATGTCTTTCCATGATTGGACCGTTTCATCTGAGTTGTTGGCTTGTGGTCATAAGCCCCTTTATTACCCCTGTAATGTTTGTGAGGTCAGTGGGGAGATATTGGCAATTTGTGTCTTCTTTTTCCCTTGGTCAGTGTGACTAGAGGTTTATCTATTTTATTTTTTTCCCAAAGAACATGTTTTGGATTTGATTTTTCTCCCCACTCTGTTTTTCTGTTTTCAGTTTGATTGATTTTTGCTTTTATTTTTTCCTTCTGCTTGCTTTGGGTTTAATTTACTTCTCTTTCCCTAATTTCTTTCTTTTTTTTTTTTTTTAAGGTTTTATTTATTTATTTGACAGAGATGCAGCGAGAGAGGGAACACAGGCAAGGGGAGTGGGAGAGGGAGAAGCAGGCTCTCCGTGGAGCAGGGAGCCCGATGCGGGGCTCGATCTCGACCCCAGGATCATGACCTGAGCCGAAGGCAGACACCCAACGACTGAGCGCCCCCAGGTGCCTCTCTTTCCCTAATTTCTGAAGGCAGATGCTTAACCAACTGAGCCACCCAAGCGCCCCCTCTTTCCCTAATTTCTTAAGGGCAAAGCTTGTATTACTGTTTTGAGCCTTTTCTTTTTCATTAATATAGCTCTTATCTCTTAGTCCCGCATCCCACAATTTCTGATATGTTGTATTTTCATTTTCATTCAGTTCAAGATACGTTAAAATTTCCCTTCAGACTTCCCCTTTGACCCATGGGTCATTTGGAAGTATGTTCTTTAGCAGGTATCTTTCTGTTATTGATGTCTAGTTTAATTTTCTTATGATCTGAGAACATACTTTCATGCTTTCTGATTCTTTTACATTTAAGATTTGTTTGGGGCACCTGGGTGGCTCAGCCAGTTGAGCGTCTGACTTTTGATCTCAGCTCAGGTCTGGATCTCAGGTCTTGGTCTCCGGGTTGTGAGTTCAGGTGTGGAGCCTACTTAAAAAAAAAAATTTGTTTTATGGTCCGGACTGTGGTCTGTCTTGGTGGATATGTGCACCTGGGAAGAATGTGTCATTTGCTGTTATCGTAGGATGTTCTATGAACGTCAGTCAGGCCAAGTGCTTGGTGGTGGTGTTCAGGTCATCTCCGTTCTTACTGATTTTCTGCCTACCTACTCTGTCAGTTCTGAGAGACGAGTGTGGAGGTCCCCAGCTGTCGTCATGGATTTGTCTGTTTCACCTTTTAGTTCTGTCGGGTTTTTCTTCATGTGTTGGCCTCAGTTTTTTAATCTGAAAGATGGGCATGCCCCATGGTGTTGTTGTGTGGACTGAATAACACCGTAATCCTAGCTAACATTTATCAAACGTTGCTAGGTGCCAGACACTGTGCTAAGCGTTTTCCTTGCATGATCTCATTTAATCCACCTGACAATCCAGTGAAGGAGATGCCACTATCATTCAAAGCCTTGGGAGGGTACGTTGACTTGCCCAAGCTTACACCGGGTTTGTCAAGCCCAACCAGGCTGGGGTGTGCCATGTCTCAGGACTGCGTTCTGCCCTGCCTCATTAAAGCCAGGGCTTGGTGTCCGGTAACTTCCCAGGGAACGTCAGCTGGCTTACTGTTATTGCTTTTAATATATAACATGTAATTAAATAAATGTATGCAGTAGCATCACCCTAGTGGGGTGTGTCCTGGGCCCTCGAGGGTGAGTGTAAAGAAAAGGGGTCTGCAGCTCACCATCACACAGAGGAAGTGAGAGAGGGGACCCAAGGCGGAAGAGATGGGGGCCTTGAGAAGCACGGGACCTGCCCGTGGACACCCCTCCCAGGAAAGGGGCTCACTCTGGCCCCGCTGATTAGGGTGCACAAGCTGCCAGAGGCTTTTTGCACCTGGTGCAGGACGTGCTAGTTGAGTGAAGAGTGAATGAACGTCTTCCCCTTTCCTGAAAGGAGCTCTGGATTTGGGGAATTAGAGCAGCTACTGGCCATTTCTTTTTATTGTGGGACATAGGAATGCTTCAAAGCAATGTTTTTCCAGATTTGCCTGTGGCTGACCACCATCGCGCTGTGACATTCCCACAACCCTCCCGTCTTGAGACGGTTTCGAGGGCTTGTGTGCCCTCAGCTTCCAGCATGGGGGCTACAGTCCTTGGATCAGTGTCCTGTTGTCTTTCACTTAGGATGTGTGTATTCCCAGAGCCCCCTCTAGAAAGAGGTGAGATGCCTGTCCACACTAGTTGGCTTTAAGCAAACAGAGGGAGGGGGCGGAAGAGCCTCAGGCCTGGAAGCACCCTGTGCACTTGTACTTTCATGCCTGTTCTCCCCTCCGTCCAGAATGTCACCTGGGGGGCGGGGGGAGGGGTGCAGTCTCATCACCCTTGCTTCATCGAAAGGAAACCCTGGGCTGAGACTGGTCACGGAAGGCCTGCCTGTGGTCCTCCCGGGAAGGTGGGAGTGATCCGACCCCAGCTCCGATTGTGAGCTGCCCAGAGACCTTCTTCTGAGCCAGATGCCCCCCCACCCCCACTCCCATGCAGAGTAGGAAAAATGAGGTTGGGGACCTGCCTTAGCCTAAAACTCTGAGAAAAAAGACTCTGGCACATTCATTCTTGTGTCTGTGTCCTGTGTCAGACACCAGGCTCTACCTAAAAGTTGCTCAATCAGTATTGCCTGAATCAGCTGAGAACGCCAAGGGCACTTGGGGGGGTCCCCTGGGAAAGGTGGAAGAGGCTGTGGGTCCAAAGACATATTGCAGTGATGGAGGGTGGCGCCAGAGGACCCCAGCCCCTCTGGCCCCCACCTGGTTCCTCCTGCCCTTTGCCGTATGTGATGTGTGGATCCCACTTGGCGATCGATGTGACTTTGACTCTCTGGGCCCCTACTGTTTGTTTGGATGTCACAATGTGACCCTGGGTGCTGTTGACCCGCAGCAAATCATCCCCTGAAGCGTCCTCAAAGCCTGCAGTAAAGTAAATTGCTATGAGCCGCTTCCTCACCAACCCGTAGCGTTTCTGTGGCCGAGTCCATTCATCGGTGACCTGAGTGGAATTATTCCTGGTTTCGGTAGGTAGCGCCTGTCCTCTTTTCAAACACAGAACTCTGCCATCTGTGACCTTGGAGCGGGATTCCATTCTTAGAATGACCTGGGAGAGAAAGCCAGGACTTTTGCTGCTTTAATAAGGTTGGGGGTGGTTGGGAGTAGGGGAGGAGGGGAGGACGCTCCCCTTAGTCAAGGCAGCCCACTGGTGTGCAGGTGTGACCGAGGGGCCCAGGATCCGGGACCCTCCTGATCTGCTCAAGGGGGACCTGGGTCTTTTGTTCTTTTCGGCTGATCCACTTTCAGGAGGGAGGTCTGCCCTTTCAGGTGAGTTTTGGGAGGTGACAGGAAAGGATGGTCAGGTCTCTGGAGGAATACCACTGTGGACCATTAGTCATTCTTTCCTGCCAAGCAGGCCCTTCTCCAGGCAACGCAGATCCCCCACTCTCAAGGTGACCCGGGTGACTGGATACTTTCCTCCCACCAAGACAGTTTGACCCGAGGGCACTGGGACCTGGTGGGGGCTGAGGTTCCAGTTTTAACCATTTCAGTCCTAAGCTCTGCTGGATGAGCCTTGGCTGCCTGCTTTGGCAGCCCCAGTTTCTGGCAGGAATCGGGAAGGGCTGGGCTGGCCGTGGCCTGCCTCTGCCCCCCACCTCTGCCTGTGATCTGGGGGCTTCTCTGAGCCTTTGGCTTCTTTTCTTTTTTTTTTTTTTTAAGATTTTTATTTATTTATTTTACAGAGAGAGAGACAGCGAGAGAAGGAACACAGCAGGGGGAGTGGGAGAGGGAGAGGCAGGCTTCCTGCCGAGCGGGGAGCCCGATGTGGGGCTCGATCCGAGGACCCTGGAATCATGACCTGAGCTGAAGGCAGACGCTTAACGACCGAGCCACCCAGGCGCCCCAGCCTTTGGCTTTCTTATCTGCAAAGTAGGCATAGCCATAGTGCTTGCCAAGATGGGGTATGTGAACCTGAAATAAAGGCTCTTTGATCTTGTGTTCTGCACTGGGAAGTTTCCTGCAGGTGGGTCTTTGTCCTCAGACCCACCCCCCTCCCCTAGAGTGTCACCTCCCTAGTGGATTGCTCAGAATGACACTGAGTTGAATCCTTAACAACACCTGCAGCATTTCCAGAGGATATTGCTTACCCCAAGGCCGGTGGGGAAATAGGGGACACGGTTCCCAGTTCCCAGTGCTGAGGCTCTGGGGAGGTGTCATTTACATACAGTGAAACTCATAGACCTTTGTGTCCAGTTGGAAGGTCTAACGTGCAAGCTCCTGGCTAGCCAGGCTCCAACTGAGATGGGGAATACTTCCATCGCCCCCGAAAATTCCCTGTGCTCCTCCCGGCCAGTGCCCCACCTTACTTCCCATCCAGGTACCTGCGCCTTCTTAGGAATGCCCTGAACCGTCCCCAGGCCTGGGTTTTCAGCCGCGACCCTCTGGCCATCACCTGCACCCTTTCTCACACTTTACCCCCTTTCCTCTGGCTTGGTCCCGCCACTGTAGGGTCAGCCTGTGAGATAGGAGGCATAACATTGAGGGCACGCCGCTTTCACCTGGGATTTGGGATTTCCTCTCCTCGGGAAGGTGTGTATCCCCTGAGGCAAAAGTGATGGAGAACTGGGGATCCTGAGACAGGGCAGGCTGTGTGGGCACGGAGGGGGGCCTTGAGAATCAGGCCCACAGATAACTGTTTGCCTATCGGTAAAATGAGGATGCCGATGACCATGGGAGGATAGGGTCGGTGGGAGGCTCTTGAGTGTGTGTGGGGGGAGTATTCCACGTTCCAGGTGTACTGGCCCCGTGCTCCACTGTCTGATGATCCAGAGGGCAAGGCTGGGTCTCAGAGGGCCTTTTGTGAGCAGCTTCTGGTGGACGGTTGGTGAGGATGCCTGGTTTATGGAGTTGCTGAAGGGGGCAAGGAGGACCTGGAGGGGACAATGGGTAGTGGAATTCGGGGGGTCAGGGCTTCAGGACTGCTAGTACCCCCCTGGTGCTCCACCCCCTCTCCTTCCACGCAGCTTTACACCCTAGGGACTGACCTGCCTTGAAGAGATCCCAGCCCCGGGGTTTCTAAGAATCTGCGAGAGCCCTAGCCCATCCCCGGTCTGGCCATCCCACCTCCCGCCAGCGCTTGTGAACACTACTTGATTTCTCAGCCTAAAAGGTGCCATAAAAATATTGATGAAGTACAGCGCCTGGGCAGCTAGTGAATCTGTTGCCTCAGAAGCGGAGGGATCTGCTGGCCACTCACTGCTGGCCGCCCACCTGCAGAATCTCCACGGCGGCTGCTTGGGCAATTTCCTGCCTCCAGTTTGAAGCCAGAAGGGAGGGGATCAGAGTCCCAGCAGCACGGCTGGCTGAGCTGGAGGGCCCTTCAGAGGTGTACCTTTAGCCTCTGCTTTTTACTGATGATGAAACAAGGGCCACTGTTCACTCAGCAAACATTTACTCTTTGTGCCAGGTGGAAGACACAAAGATGGAGGAAAAAATGGCCCCTAGCCTGGACGGATGAGTATGAGATAGGGACCGAGAACCAAATAATCGTAATAGGGTGTGCACTAAGGACACAAAAGAGAGTGCCGTGGGTGATGGTAGAGGAGATGCTCCCCCTGGGTCTTGAGGGGTGAATAGGAGTTTTTCTGGAGGTGTCAGAGGGATAGAGAGTGTTTCAGACGTGGGCAGAGCCATGGTAGAAGGGTCTAGAGCCCAGGGCAGGTGGGGAGGCCTGGGGTCCAGAGTGTGGCAGGAAGTGAGGCATGGGAGGCTGGCTGGGGCTAGAGCGCCTCATCCTGAGGGCAGTGGGAACAATGGGGTCAACAGACAGATTGGACTCCTGCATGAGGAGGGTGAAGGGTCAATGGCAGGCAAGCTTTGACTGGGTATTGAGGGTTGAGATGGGGACTGGGGAGCAGGGACAGTGAGGCAGGCACCACTCTGGAAGTGGCCGAGCAGGACCAGAGCAGCAGTCTGGTGGCTCCCCAAGTCAGCTCTCCTTGCATCCCTCCCGGGGGCTCCTGTTGCAACAGTCAGCCCCATTGCAGCCTCTCAATGGGGCCTTGCAATCGGGTGCTTAATAAACGTTTCTTTTCAAACAGAAGATAGAACGTCCTTTGGTTCAGTCCCAGGCTCTAGAGGCTTTGGGGCTGAGGTGTGTGCTCGTCTCCCTCCAGGGTGGACAGCCTGTTTTGAAGCCTGTTCCAGCTGTTTGGTCCTTTGTGAGTGGCCTCACTTCTCTGGGTGTATTCTCCAGGGCAACTTGGAATTTCCTGTCACAGCCCCAGGCTTTGTGAGGTGCCCGTCCCGAGAGCCGCCGAGCCTCCACTGCTCTGCCTGATGCACGGGGGGGTCTGGGGGGGGCGTGGTATCTGACCTGGGACCTGAAGACGAGGAGGCTGGAAGGCAGGGTGTGGGGTTGCCTGCCTGGTGGGTGTTGGCAGCGCCCACTGGGTGCCCAGAGGCTGCGGTCAGCGTGGGGCAAAGCTGTGCTTTCAGTGTCACTCTTCCCTGTTTGCTGAGTGGTTGGCCCCCTTTGTCATTTGTTTATTAATAATGCACTCGGGGTGCTCATGTGGCCACTCTGTCCCTCAGCCATTTCATCCACATGTTCACGTAGCAGTGCCTTTGTTGGCTCATTCGTTCTTAGCTCTGCCCTTGGTCCCTCAGAGGTGAAGGTCGCCCTTGACCGGGACAGGAGGCTCCCACATGCAAAGGACACGCCGGGCCACATCTTGCGTGCTCCGTGACTTTCCAGAGTCTTCCCACCATCTCTACAAGCAGGGTGTCTCAATGCTGCCCCTGGGGGACATTGGGGCCATGTGTGGAGACATTTTTGGTGCCACTGGCCCCGAGTGGGTGGCGGCCAGGGGTGCAGGGGACGGTCCCGCCACAGGGAGCGCTCCAGCGCCAAGTGTGGACCGTGGAGGGCAGGAAACCGTGCCGTCGATGCGGCAAGGAGCATGAATCTGGTATGTTGCTAGCCAGTCTCTTTTTTAAATACACACAGAAAGAACATTTAGTACAATGTGGCTATGTGTTATTTTCTAAAAATGTATATACGTGTATATGCTGCGGGAAGTCTGCCGCTTGCTCTGTTCGTTTGACATTTTTTTAAAGAATATCACAAGTTGACACATATGGCTAGTTTGTTTAAATTCTGTAGCTTAGCTGCTTTAGGAATGGGCCCCCTTCTGTGTAGCCATTCTTCCATGCCTCTTTTTCTTTGCCAGCACGGGAGGTTTGCACACTCACGTGAGTTTCTCTGGGACAGGTGCTTGGGAGTGAAATTACTGACAAGTAGGAGCACGCCTTTCAGTTCACACCCTCCCCAGCCCTCAAGACTGGGTTGGCGAGGCGAGGCACAGCACTGCGGTTTTTGCATTTACCTGATTACTAGTGAGGTTGAGCGTGTCTCCCCACGAATGCCAGCCCCTTGGGTTTGCTCTGGGGCCTCCGGAGCCCTCTGCATGCATGGTCCCAGTCACAGCACCTGGTGACCCAGACCTTGGTCCCGGTGGGGTCACTTCCCTGTCAGGGTGCTGGCTGCTCGTGACTTCCTCACCCAGTGTCCCCGCACGCTGTTCCCCTGCCACTAGCCCGGCCATTCTCGGACAGGGCAGGATGTGGCTGATTGGGTTTCGGCTTTTTATCTTCAGTTTTATGGTTACACTGTAGTAACCTTTGCTGGACTTGCTTGTGCCCGAGCCTCCCGGCATGTTCCCAGAGGGAAACTTTGTTTCTGAGTTCTGGCGGCTTGGCACTCCATGTCCCCACGGCTTGCGGGGGCCGTCGGGGGGACTGGGCAGGTCTCCCACTGACGCTGGCTCTGTCCCTGCAGGCAGACCTCTGCGTTATGACCTGGCTGCTGGGCTACGTGGACCCCTCGGATCCCTGCTTCGTGGCTGCCATCCTCACCATCACTTTCAATCCGCTCTTCTGGAATGTGGTAAGTGCCCTAGCATGACCCTGTCTGGGTTGGACGGACAGACGGATGGCTCTTCCCTCCCCGTGTCAATCTCTGGCCAGTGCGGAATCGTCCTTACTGTTTCCCCTGCGAGGTCAGAGCCCAGTTAGGGGATGCTGGCCAGGGAAGCCCCTCATTCTGGGGATCCCACCACATGCTGGCCGCGACAGTCCTGGACTGCAGGGCTGTCCTGTGATGTGGCTGCGAACGTGCGCCCGATCGTCTCAGTCTCCTAGAGGTGGAAGTAGATGGCCTCGGCTTAGGGGCCCCTTCCCTTCTGTGCCACGCTGCACAGTCCGGCGGCGGCTTCCTTGTGAACCCCCGCCCCCTGCCATGTGCTCTAGAAACATGGTGAGTTTTTCCTGAACGAGGCTCCCGGCGAAGCGGTTTGCACAGGGCTGGGCAAGTGTGCCGGGGAGCAAGAACGAGCTAGCAGGAAGGGAACACAGAAGCAGGCAGAACAGCACCCAGCTCTTCTGTGGGTGTGGGGTTACTCGGGACCGAGAGCTGAGGGGGGGGGCAGGCTGTGTGGGAAGGGGGCCCTGAGCCCTATGGGGAAGGTGTGGGAATGGCCGACGGGCCTTCCTGCTACCGTGTCTCTCTGTGACCCCAGGATGTGGGGGGAGCTCTTGGGGTTTCTGCAGGGATGGAAGGGAGTGGCAGTGGTGCCCCCAGGGCTGCTTCCCGAGGCTCCTGCCCTGTGCCTGTGCTTGGGTTTGCTGATGCAGAGCCGCGGACATCCTGTGATCACCCTTGAGGGTAGCCTGAAGAAGGCCAACCTCAGCTTTAGCAACACAGACTGTTCCAGACTGTTTTCATTTCGGGTGACCACTTGGTCCCAGGGGCGGAACACGACATGTTCTTCCTCTGGTTTATGAGTGAAGAGTCTTTTCTCTATCTGGGGAGATGGGTGGTGGGTGGGCGTGGGGGTGGGGGTGGGGCTGCGCATCTCAAAGAGGCCGCATTCCGAATGTGCCCTCGCTCCTGTCCTGAACACGCAGGACCCACCTCGAGATGGCTGGTACCGGCCTCCGGCTGGAGGGGACCAAAAGAGAGGGAGGAGCTCTGAGGCCTTCTTTGTCCAAAACCCTTCTTGAGGGCGCCTGGGTGGCTCAGTTGGTTAAGCGACTGCCTTGGCTCAGGTCATGATCTTGGGGTCCTTGGATCGAGTCCCGCATCGGGCTCCCTGCTCGGCAGGGAGTCTGCTTCTCCCTCTGACCCTCCCCCCTCTCATGTGCTCTCTCTCTCTCAAATAAATAAAATCTTAAAAAAATAAATAAATAAAACCCTTCTTGAGGCCTCCTGGGACCCCCGCCTTAGTCCACACAGGAACCCCAACAACCCCCACCCCCCTGTCTGACCTGCCCCTGACCTGGCAGAAGCCTCCCAGCAAGAGCTGGTGTCCCGCAGGGCCTGCTTCTCCCTGTCCCTTCCTACTTTCCATTCCTTCTCCCCCATCGCCGCTCCCCACCCCGCACCCTTCCTCCTGCGGCCTGAGACCATGGTGGGTAAAACGGGTGTGTGGCAGGCGGAAAACTGGCCCCCAAAGACGTATGTCCATGTCCTAATCCTTGGAACCTGGGACAGCAAAAAAGGGGAGCTTTGCAGGTGTTAAGGTTCTCAGGATGGGGAGATTGTCCTGGATTATTGGGGTGGGCCCTCAGCGCAGTCACATGTGTCCTCATAAGAGGGAGGCAGAGGGACATGAGAAGACACTGGCTTGGAAGACTGGGATGATGCGGCCACCGGCCAAGGAAGGCCGGGGTCACCAGAAGCTGGAAGAGGCGAGGGACGGATTCTCCCCTAGAGCCTGGGGGTGGGGGGGGAGGGGGGAAGCGTGGCCCTGCCGGCACCTTGATTTGGCCTAGAGACACTGATTTTGGACTTCAGGCCATTAGAACTGGGGGAGCAGAAATTCCGTTGTTCTAAACCACCTAGTCTGTGGAAATTGGCTACAGCAGCCACAGGAACCGGGTGCAGGGTCTCCGAGGGGCTATTAATCCATGCTAGAAGGGCTGGCCGTCTGCTGGGAGTGTGCAGTGCTCCCCGCTGTCCACGGTCCATGCCCTGTGGGCCTGGCTGGTCTCCCAGCGCTGGGGGCTCGGCTTGCCGAGTGCACGGCGGGTCCCGGGGACACTTCTTCATGCACAAGCCCCTTCTGTTATTTCCTGCAGGCCCTTCAATGGTGTGTCCAAGTTCATTTTGTTTTAAGGTTTTATTTATTTATTTGAGAGAGAGAGAGAGAGAGAGCATGAGCTCACAAGCAGAGGGGCAGGGAGAGGGAGAGGGAGAAGCAGACTCCCGCCTGAGCAGGGAGCCCGATGCTTGATCCCAGGACCCAGGGATCATGACCTGAGCCAAAGGCAGACGCTTAACTGACGGAGCCACCCAGGTGCCCCTGCAAGTTCATGCTGAAGTTGTGCCACGGCCCACAGCCACGGGGTCAAGGTGCTTAAGATTTGGGAGATGGGCAACTCATAATCTGTGCATCTGTCGTGAGGTTTTTTTCTTTTGTTATGGTGTTTGATTTGCTTTGCTTTTGAAAAAGTTATTCACTGGAACAGTCTGTGATCATCCGTGGGAGAGAGAGCTCTTCAGCGGGTTCAGAATGGCAGCCCTTAGGGCAACCTCTGTGGTTTAGGGGGCTGCTGCTGGCCAGACGGTGGGTGGTGGAACAGGAAAAACTGGTCTGGGTGGGCCTGCCCCCCGCCCCCCCACTCTGTGCGTGGGGACAAGATCCTAGCCCGTGAGCAGTAAGGGAGGGGGCACCTGTGAAAGTGCTTGCTGAGCATTGATTCAATGGTCGTGAGAGCTGATACTTGGCAGGACATGCCATGCTTGGGCATTGTGCTGAGTGTTTCACACAGCATTTTAGTTGATGGGCGGGGCGAGGGCTGTTACTGACCCCTTTGGAAACAGGGCCCCTGAAGAGGTTCACTCATGATGGCCTACCACATGCCAGGTACCGGGGGCACAGTGCTTGGGTTCCAAAGGAGCTGATGTCCTAGGAAGGGAACACTGAATAAACACACATTCCACCATCCCACGGGATGAGGTTGGGGGGCGGTGAAGCTGGGAAGGCGGGGAGCAGCTGCTCAGGGCAGGGGTGACCTCTGAGCAGAAACCTGCCCCCACGTGGGAGGGAGCCCTCGGGTATCTGGAGAAGAGGAAGCGACAAGTGCAAAAGTCTGGGTGATTTCAAGGAAGGGCTGTTGGCTGGAATCAGATGGAGCTAGAAGGGAGGGCGGCAGGTCAGAGAGGGGGCTGGAGTAACAGTACTGACCTTGTAGGCTGTGGGGAGTGCGGGGGTGGGGGGTTTCTGAGGGGGGAGCCGTGGAATGAGTGGCCTGATCTGACTCAGGTCCAGGCTGCCGTGGGCTGATGAGAGCAGACAAGGGGTGAGGGTGGGGCTGGAGGCTGTCACAGTGCTGGAGGCCCAATGGTGGCTTGGACCAGAGTGGCACCAGCGGAAGTAGAAGAAGTGGTCAGATTCTGGGCACAGTTTGAAAGCCGGAAGAGTCAACAGGATTTACCATAGTTTGGTGGGAAAGTGTTGGAGAGAGGAGGCATGGCCAGCTCCAAATGGGACCTCAGTGACTTATAAGAAATATGGATTTGGGGCGCCTGGGTGGCTCAGTCGTTAAGCGTCTGCCTTGGGCTCAGGTCATGATCCCAGGGTCCTGGGATCGAGCCCCGCATCGGACTCCCTGCTCGGCGGGAAGCCTGCTTCTCCCTCTCCCACTCCCCCTGCTTGTGTTCCCTCTCTGGCTGTGTCTCTCTCTGTCAAATAAATAAATAAAATCTCTCTCTTTTTTTTTTTAAAGATTTATTTATTTATTTTGAGAGAGTGAGAATGAGAGAGAGAGAGAGTACATGAGAGCGGGGAGGGTTAGAGGGAGAAGCAGTCCCCTCGCCGAGCAGGGAGCCTGATGCGGGACTCGATCCCGGGACTCCAGGATCATGACCTGAGCCGAAGGCAGTCCTTTAACCAACTGAGCCACCCAGGCGCCCCAATAAATAATATCTTAAAAAAAAAAGAAATATGGATTTGGTCTTCAGTCTGGCACACAGCTCCTTCTTAGGTGTTGAGTGCTGGCAGGTTGTCTCTTGTTATGTTAATGAGGTGACTTTCGACCCCTTCCCCACCTAAGGATGGGGGCAGGACATGTTGCCAGAGGAACCAACCACGTGATGGGGAGGGGAGAGGAGCTGAACGTTAAGTTTTCAGTAGCCAAGGGCCAACGATTAATCAGTCACCTCTGTAATGCAGCCTCCTTAAACCCCACAAGGATGGGGTTCGGAGATGGCGCGCCTGGGTGGCTCAGTCGGATGGGCATCTGCCTTTGGCTCAGGTCATGATCTCAGGGTCCTGGGATCAAGCCCCGCAGTGGGCTCCCTGCTTGGTGGGGAGTCTGCTTCTCCCTCTGCCCTTCCCCCTGCTTGGGCGCGCGCTCTCTCTCTCTCTCTCTCAATCGAAAATAAGTAAATAAAATCTTTAAAAATAAAAAAAAAAGTATGGGGTTTGGAGAACTTCTGGGTTGGTGGACACATGGAGATGTGGAGAAGGCGTGCCCAGAGAGCATGGGCGCCCTCACCCCTTCCCTGTCCCTCACCCTGTTCATCTTTTCAACTGGGTGATGATTCCTAGCCTTTAATATCCTTTGTCATAAGCTGGTAATCAAGCAAATAAGTGGGTTCCCTGAGTTCTGTGAGTTGGGCAGATAGTGTCAGAATTGAGTTGAATTGTGGGACACCCAGCTGGTGTCAGAGAATTGGCTGGGTGTGTGACAAAATCCACACACCCAAATTGGGTGCAGAATTGTAGAGGACGTGGCCACGTGGGACAACATAGGGGCTGAGGGAACAGAGCTCCGTTCTGCGAGCATCTGGGAGATTCCGGGTGGAGACCTTGCCGGTCTGGAATTGAGGGGAGCGCAATGGCTGGGGTTGGTGATGATGTGTGAGGCCATGGAGAGTGGCCC